CAATAATGTAAGAAAAATACTTCAATCATGCCACAAATAGTTATTAGGAGAAGAAGCATGGACTGAGAATAAGGCAGAGTAATACAGAAATGGGAAGAACAACATAAGGGTACAGCGATGTACAAAAACAAACAACAACAACAGGTTAAACAGGTGAGTGGCAATAGCTTCACTTCATATTTATTAAGCACAATTATGGTTTCCGTGGATGATTACAGAAATGGCAAACCATCATGCCAAGCATTTGGAAACAGTGGAAAGGAAACTCCCCATTAACGGAGAGAAGCAGCAGAGCCATTCTTGAATGGCGAATTTCTTCTCAGAAACCAGGTCGTCTGCGTGTGTGTCATGGTTAATGCAGATATGTCCCCGCCCCTTTCACAGACACTCTGCTGCACCTCTCCAAAATTTTAGGTGACCCCAGACAGGAGGCATCTGATTGGTCAAATCTACATCCGCTCTACACTATACGAATGTCCTGTTTGGGACCTTACCGGCTTTTTTTGTTTGTACGACCGCCATTGTGAAAAACGACTCGTGAAGATGGACCAGCTAGAAGTGCGAGATGCGTGAGAAGACCTAGATCCCCGCTCCTTTTCGCCCTCATGTTCCTACGTTGTCGCACAAACTTGCCCCTTGTGTTTTTCCACTTCCTCACCGCCTCGGCTGTATCTAGACCCACAGCTAGTTCATGATTGTCCCTCTTGAGTTGTGGAGTGGAATAACAAAGCGCAGACCATGCTTCAAAATTGGGCAACAATCAAAAATATCTGCGTCATACCTCCGTCAAGCTCACTGCGACACTGCTCGGGGAGTATAAGCAGCCCTTTAGTGTGATTAGCCTCCTAATACCATCAGCTAAGGGTTTGCACAGACAAAGCATACACTGAAGAGGAATGCATAAGCACTGATCCAGCAGTATTTTCTTTGTGAGGGAATAGGTTAGTAGGTGTAGTAGGTCCTATAGTGGTTTTATCTAAGACACAAGCAGACAAATCTAAAACAAGATGCAAGTCTGCAAGATAAAAAAGAGAGTTGACATAGTTGTTATTAAAGCTCAGCCAATTACTATGTGTAAAGTTGACAGTATTTAGCTTCCAGCTTGAGGTGTGAAAGTATTAAGAAAGCTTAGCTCTTAAATCCTTTTTGTTAAAAACTGTAGAAAACAATAGTAACTCCCAATGAACAAAGAACAAAAATAAGCAAAACATAAAGGCATAAAGTTCTGTTAGGGTTGAGCAACAAATTGAATAAAAAAAAAAGAGAGAAAGGCTAAAAAAAAAAAATTGGAAAAAATGGATCTCAGACACCTTGACATTGTGACATGTCTGCTTAAATATACAAGATGGATTTGTAATGTTTTTTTTTTTTTGTTTTTTTTGTTTTTTTTTACTGCAATACACGGTTAAGGATGGCAGCACCAAAATCCAAGAAAATAAGGTTGTTTAAAAATGGCACGGCTGCATCTTTTAAAAAAATAAACTGAATACCAGAATTTTTTCTATTCATTTAAAGTAGACGAGGGGAACCTTAACTAACTATGGCTTATTATTATGATGATTAGAAATGGGCAATGTAATGGAGAGCAGAGGCTCCATCCCTATTAATTGATATTTATTTATAGTTATAGATAGTTTTTGTTTCATTTTTTTATTTCAGTTTGTGTTGTGTTAATTGGGGTTTACAATCCAGGTTTGTCTCCTTAGAAGGGTGGAGCATACCATGTGAGCTAAGAAGGATAATGCTCTAAAGTTATGTTATATTAAGTTTGATTTAATTTCTTGATTGACTTTAGGATTAGTTGTTTCAAAGTTGCATGCATGTAAATATTTATTTGTACCCTTTATTTTGTGTTGGGTTTGTAAATAATTTATTGTTGTTTTGTCACCCCTTCACCTGGTGTGGAGTGAGAGTGGCCAAAAGCTAAAGCCAGCTGCTGTGCTTGGCAGTAAAAGAATGGGTGTCAGTGTATTGGTGAACTGCAGCACCAATAAAACATATTCCACCAAATCTTGTTGCGTTGCCTCACCTCCTTCTAACATAGTGCCGCCCTCGGAGAGTGACAGGCAATTTGATAAAAAAAAATTACATTTCATGAGAACCCTTGTTTAATCTTTGCATAAAAAGTTGATTATTTTCTCTACAGGATAATGTTGGTCTCTGCTATGCACTGTATGCACCTCTTGGTCAAGCTGTTACAGGCTTCTGGGTGAAGGATGCTACTATGTTTGTAGGGAGAGATTAATGATCAAATGTCTTAATGGTTTAAAATAAAGCCATGTCAATCTAATGGCATGTCGTTAAGTGAGCATTTGCTGTACTGTGAGTGGACAGCAAGTTTTGCATGCAATGCTGCATCCCATGAGCCTGTCTTAATATTAGGAGGTAGACTTCACAGAACCATCAGATGTAAGAATTATAGCTCTTTTAATAAACTATTGGATTTCTAGACCCAGGGACATTTTAAGATGTTTTTTTTACTTTACAGAATATGTGAGCTGAATTTAATTTTAGCAATTGATCAGTCTTCTGTCATTTTCCATTGTCTTTTGCTTTGTGGGACGTCATCATATAAACAATAACTCTATGAAGAAAAAAATAACTATATGTACTATGATAAAAACAAACATTTACTGGATGAATGTCATACAAAGGCTTTAGAACTCTTTAGCATTTTATGTTAACCGAGTACAAAAGAATGAGAACAGCTGCATTTTGTTGATTTCTTGCTTTACCTTAACAAAGCTTGTTAACAATAAATTGCATAAAATGCTGTTGGATTTACCTTAAATGGTGCCAGATTTTTGTAATTCTAAGTGGAATAATCACCATAATTCAGTACATGGGTTGCATCTATATAGATTTTTGTCCAATACTGGGAAAGCCTATATTATTTCTGGTTCTTGTTTGATGGAACTGAAACAGAAAATTATGTTTTTGTTTTTTTGCCTTGCAGCTCACTTACTCAGCTGTGCTGCTGAACTCATTTCTTTCCCCATGTTTTTGGCAAAGCCACTAGGCTGGATAAGATATTTATCAACTCACAATCTATAGGGAGGTGCATTCTGAAGGAGGGTAAAAAGAAATCTTCCTGTTGGTGAACGGCAGTAGAAAGGGGCATCTTGTGACTAAGTCTCCACAACAACCTTTAGATGGTATCTTTATGCAGAGCTTGTCTCAAAAGCATACCAACAAATACCCTATGCTGTTTCACCATCACATACATAGTGTAAAATGGAAACATGCCTAAGTCAGATGAAGAGTTTTGGCTTTGATCTAAATAAAATAGTTATGTGTCACTGTATCTCATGCCCACAGTTGAATGAGGGATCTATGATGCTGTGGGTCTGTGTCCTACAAAGGTCATGGGAAACATAGAAGTAAATGGGCTAGTGACAGAGATGGGAAGTAACGAAGTACAAATACTTCGTAACTGTACTCAAGTAGATTTTTCTGATATCTTTACTTTACTACTTATTTTTATGGTTACTTTTTACTTCTACTCCTTACATTTTAAAAAATTGGCTCGTTACTTTAGTTTTGAATCATTTCAATGGAGGTACCGTTATTATTTTTCACGTCATCAATACCAAATTCAATCTAATTGGATGGGAATCTACGTTGCATTTGACGCACCACTACAAGGCAAATCATTGCAGCTTGGTGGCAGTGGCGTTAGCATAGTAGTATGGACGACGAGATGATTGAAAATGAACACGGAGATCTTGTCCTATTGGCAGACATCCATTTAAAATGTAGGCAACAGCATGAAAAAAGTGGTTTCTACTTTTACTTTTATACTTTAAGTTAATTTACAAGCCTGTACTTTGTTACTTTTACTTGAGTAAAGAAGTTTAATCAGTACTTCCACTTTTACCAGAGTACTTTTTTAACACAAGTATCTTTACTTTTACTCAAGTACGGAAAGTGAGTACTTTTGCCATCTCTGGCTAGTGAGCTATTAGAATTACTAGTAATTTTATAATACCCATTCGGCCCATCTGCCAAAAAGCTGAAAATACAAAAAATTCCGGAACATATTTTAGCAAGAAAATTATCTAAAGTATTTGTGTAAATCAATACAGAAGTAGTATTCCAGACATAAAATAAACCCACCCCAGTCCTACATGAAACACTTGTCATAAGCTTCAGAGAAGAGAGCATCTCAGAGTAGCTTGGTTGAATCCGAATACCACAAACTGGTAAGGAATATTTAGCTGTGTGATGTGTGTCAGTGTTCACCATAAGTGTTCTCCAAATAGTAAAAACACTGCAAATTACACAAATGTAATGTATTCAGACTGAACGTGGTGTCCGCAGTGAGAGCGGTGGATTTACATAGTATCCCTATGGATAGAGTGGAGTGGGGACTGCTAAAGTTGAAAATCTGAACTTTTTTATGAAATCGCTTCGCAGGCAACCAGTCAGGGACTATTTTTTTTTTATGTGATTTAAGTTAAACAAGTGCAGCAGGGACAAAGAAAACATTTTGATACCGGATGAAAAAAATAATGCTCTGAAGAGGTTTTTGGATTGTCCAGTGAACCTAACATGGTTCAGGTTTTTGGACTGTGGTCAGAGGCCTGAAAAACCCGGAAAAAACACAGGGAGAACATGCAAGCTCCACATGGAAAGGTCCTGGTTTCCCCAGAACTCAAACCCAGAATCTTCTTGCTATTAGGCGATGACATAAGGCGTTGCTTATCACCACATCACCATGCTGCCCTCAATTCTGTATGCTTCAAGTTTATAAAGAAAAAACAACAACTCAGTTTTGTCTTTTGGGTAAAATATATATCACTTTATCAACTTAAAGATTATTATTATTATTTTTTATGTGTGGTATGAGATTATGGTACATAAACATTTTATCTACACATAAAATAAGTAAATATTTTCTTTGACACATATTTTCACTTCAGAATGGTTGTTTTACATGAAGCAGGAGCTGAAATTTACATTAACCTTAAGGTTTTGCCTTTTTATTGTTTTTACTGCAGATGCCATTGGATCTCAGACATCATTATCCAGAATGACAGAGACCTGAATCTTTGGGTGGACTCCACTACCTAGGGTTCCAACCACAGTTGATGCCTGCTGCCATTCAGCCAACCCACACTTCTTTAGAAGATCCATGTTGACTCTTTTTGTATAAGGACTCAATGGTCTCCAGCTGCTTTTTTGAGGAAATCAGACAGAGAAAGAAATGAAGGGGAAAAAAAGACTGCTGGTGTTTTGAAAAACTTGGTCCTCTGGTGAATTCCTCTTTCCAGGATCCTGTTTGAATTCTGTAAAGCAAAAATCTTGAACTGTCACCAACATCAAGCCTTGAGAAAGACTATGAAATGTAAATGAAAAAAAGCAAGTATAAAGGACACTTCTCCAAACAAGCTGCCCCACAATGTTGTCACAAAAGGTGACATGTGTCTCATCCTACCATGTAGCCACAAAAACCTATGGAAACCTAAAAACTTTTCTACCAAACCCTCAGCCAATTTAAAAGAGCTGAAAAACAACAGGGAATAAATAAACTTGGAGACTTCTCAAGTGCCACTAGATTATTATCAGCCCATGCACTTTCCATTTACATCTTTAATTTAAATTTTCTAAGTAATCATATTTTTAATTTATAGTGACAGAGTCATGAATTCCTTCAGCTCTCATATTTTCCACCACCGCTAGAGACACCTGCAACCAATTAACTACAGCTGATCCAGTTGTGGATTGTACTCAAGAAGAGGAGGAGGGATTTAATGTAAACAACAAAAAAGAAATTAAAGGCAACTGCAAACAAAGCAACAGCAAGAGATTTAAAGAAGGTGAAGAAGAACTCATTGGTCAACCTGGTATTCAATAAAAGGGAGGATCAGAGGGCAGCAGAGGATATGGCCAGATCAAGTTGCCAACACGCTAAGATAATAACTAGCTTAGAGTCAGTTGGAAAGATTGACTGCAGGCACCCAGAGTCTTGACTGATAGGCACAGGACTCATTGCAATTCTTTGTGCTGTGCGGAGCATAGCATCACAAAGAGTGCAAGAGAGAAGAGAAACTCTTGGCTGGCTGCCACAATCAGGGCCAATTAGGAGAATTTGATTATATGCCTTAATCTTGGCAGTCAGGTGGAAAAGCAGTCAGACAGAGAAAGAGGAGGCTGAGCAGGTGCCACCGATACACACCATTATCTCTGTCCATCTCTAATTGAGTTTTTTTCTGCCCCTGTGAGTGTCTCATCTCCAAACAAGAGCTTTAAGTGGTGGAGGTTCCTCAAGAGAAAACAGGGGGGAAAAAAAAAAGAAAAACACTCTTCCATTTGTGTTTTCCTTAAGAGGACAAGGACTTTTTTTCCACCAATCTCCCTCATCTCTTTAAACCTATGTTCCCTCCCTCAAGATTTATAATACCAGTTTGGACCTTGTATCGTCTGGAAGTTTCCGTGCAGCTTCCTCTATCTCAATATCGAGGCTGAGATAAAAGCCAGAGAGGAACTGATAGACATAAAAGGGAAGAGAATTGGCGTGGTACTGAATCTGTGGAGGACACAGCAGACTTATTTCCTTCCTCAATCTCAAACAGCCAGGGTATCTTGCCAAGTGTCCCAAAAACTGTGCTTCCTCTTTTTTAAATATCTTCCTTTCCCTTGGAGAGTTTTCCTCTGCTCCCCTCCTTGTGGATCATAAATTCTATCCTGGACTTCACCAAGATTAAAGTGGCCCTAGTTATCCAAGGAAATCCTTTGATATTGGCTCCTGGTGTTGTCATCTTAATTCTGTGAGTATTTTAGACATTCTTTCTATTACCATTGTCCTGCTTCATACTCTCTGTCACCTGTTTCTCCAATACTGTTTGTAGAGATCTGATGACTGGAAAGACTTGCTCTGCCATGCAACATCCCCGTAGCTCAGTTGGGTTTGATGCTGTATACATTATTCATCTTCGAGTTCTTGCTCTTCTAATTCATTTTCTGAAGTGTTAGTTTCAGACCTATATCTTTCAACCCCCCGCCAGGTATTTGCATCTGATACCCAACTAAGATGAAGGTACATATATAAGGGTACAATTTATAACATTAACAAGAAAATCAGAACATGTGACGGATGTGTTTGCCCAGTTGTGTCCTATTATATTTAATGTCCTGACAAGAAATACAGTGCAGAATGTTTGCTTTCAGTTTGCATTTGAGTACTGCTTTTCTAGTCATAGTTGTGATTAATAAGAAAACCTAAATGCTGCCTATCAGCAGGTATTAAGATTAATAATTGTCGGCAATGAATTCCCGTTACCACAGTAAAATGTTATCTTAAGGCTTTTGTACATTTTCAGCTGACATATTGAAAGAGAGTGAGGGATTTTGCATTAACAAAAATGAGTGATATGGGTCTCATGTGTCTATTTTATTGACTTGAGTCCAACAAACACAAAGGTAATTTCCTAACATTGTTGTCAGGTAATAGTATGAATATTTTAAATTACCTGCACAGGACTGTTTGTGGAAAAGATTTTTCATATGGACGTCAAGCTTTTTATCACCACTCCAAAGACCCTATTTCAGAGTTAAATACCCATTTGTTTTACTTGTCTAGGATTGCTGTTTGTAATCTTAAAATACCATACATGTCCTGACTAAATCTAGTACGTCTCTTTTATTTTCGGTGAGAAGCGTGCTGGGAGTGAAAATAACATGGTGGCAGGAGCAGCAGCATTAACCGTTATCATTGCCAGACACTGAAAGATGGGTGGTAATTTTTTCTGAATGACATGTCACTCTCATGGTGTCACACACAATCGCTACCTGTTGGAAAGCTTTCCATACTTGCAGAGGTGAATGCGGATAGACTGCTGCTTTGTGCCAACTGATGAGAACATTTCTTTTGAGCACACCCTCATCTCCTTGATTTCACCCATCTTGACCATCATAACCTCACTGCTTTGAATCACATTTGAGATCAAAATCACAGTGAAGCTCCTTGCTCTCCTTTCTGATTTTCAGCCTCTCGGGAACCTCCTGGTTTGTGTTCATTTCTATAACATTTTATTTCAGGTGATAATTGATTTCAGTGACTACAGTTTTTTTTTGTATTACACTTTTAAGCCCTTCAAGATAATAATAATAATATTGAAACATTATAGCTTTCGTCCAGTCAATAACATAGTGGCATATCTTTTCTTATGATCATTTTCTTATGTATATTCTATTTTCTTTTTTGTCTCAGTCTGCTTTTTTGTACTGATGCTTTTGTGTTCTGTGGGTGTCATTCTTTCCTCTTTTACAGTAAATTGAGGAACTGACTAGTTTATTAAAAAGATTAGGATGTGTCCTTGTTTGACATAGCAACCATTTTCATCTTGTTTACTGAAAAAAATCTTACCCTGATAGGTGTCCTTGAAAATGTAACACAACAAACAATTTAGGGCCTATTTAAAAAAAAAAAGAAGTACTTTTTAGTTGATGCCTTATCAGAATGTGACCACCTGTGGTCTTAAGTGTTTTTGCCTGAAAAGACTTACTCAAACATGAACACGATTATGATGCCCTGTTTGAAACCATTCAGGGTAAACTGCACCCTTTGGAGAAAAAAAGAGCATCTCTAATAAACCTCATAAAATTTTTAACTTTGATAAGACAAAAGGTTTCATTTAATTATTAAATGTTTTCTTGTGTGTGAAACTAGCAAAGGTGTTGTAATGATGTGCATAGTGTGAACGGATGCCTTTATAAAATTCTTTAGTTGAATTAACCAAAACGATGACAAAGACAAACTTGACGAAAACAATTTTGAAAAATTATTTTACTCATCTGCAGGAAAAAAACATAGTTCAAATAATAACAATGATAACCATTATGCCAACATGCAACTCACAAAGAAAGAACAATGTTTTTGGGTTTTTTTTTTGATGATAGCTGGATTTTCACCCTCAAACATCTTTCACCAGTAACAGTTTCCTACAAACTGTCAGACACTAAAAACTTACATTCCAAAGACCCACAAACACATTTTTCATTCAGCTTTTGAAATAGAGGTAAGCAAAGTACAGACCTCTCTATCATATGCACAATAGGCTTCTAATCTACATTTAGTTTGCAAATCCTAAATTGTGCAAGCTACAATAGAATGTGTATGCCTTTAATGGATGGGTTGCAGTTAATTTGGTGCACAAAAACTGGTTCAGACTGCCCTGTTTGAATGCAGATTTAGCATGTGATACTTGCTATAGACATGGAGAATTTTGTTGAGCTGAATGTATTTATTTTGGACATTCCAAAAGTTTCTGTTATTTTCAACAGCACCTGCACAGATGACAGGTATGATTGCTCTGTATATGCAGAACGAGCACAGGAAAAATTATTTTCTCTCCAAATGTAAAAATGAAAAAAAATAAAAAATAAATCTGATTTACTGCCTTAAAGGAATAGTACACCCAAAACATGATTAGCCTTCATTTTCTACTCACCCCCATGCTGAACAACACTCTGGAGTACTTTTTTGATATCTCAAATGCATCTGGAGATCTGGGAGGCTTCTTGCTGTCTGCTGACATTCAAATAATGGAGGTCTATGGTGACCGAGACAGAAAGGTCCATAAAAGTCCACAAAAAACGTGTCAATATTCCACCATACTGCTCGTCCAATGTATTCCAAGTGTCCTGAGTGGGTAGCATCCAGAATTTACTCGAAACGAAGTCATTTAGAATGTTTTTAGAGCATAAACAGTAGTGTATAGGATTTCCTGAAAGCGCGCAAATGCGCGCTCACGACGCTACGGAAGCCGGCAGACCAAACCAGATGAAAGTGCGCATTCAGCGTCTGCTCTGCCAATAATGCAAGCGTAGAAGAGGAAATGTGCTGTTTTACCTGTGCAAAGAAAGAAACAACGAAAGAAAAATGTCTGACTTTTATGGACCTTTCTGTCTCGGTCACCATAGACCTCCATTATTTGAATGTCAGCAGACAGCAAGAAGCCTCCCAGATCTCCAGATGCATTTGAGATATCAAAAAAGTACTCCAGAGTGTTGTTCAGCATATGGGTTAGTAGAAAATGAAGGCTAATCATGTTTTGGGTGTACTATTCCTTTAAAACGGAGAACGTTTTGCACTTCACTTTGAAATAAACACATCCTCATATTCTTGAGGATTGCCGTTTGTTAAATACGTGGTTATTTAATTTTTGCAAATTACCTTTCCACTTCTTTGATGACTGATTAAAAGTAAGAATGGACACCATCCCCAGAACTCACAATCTCTAATCTCACTTGACAGCACATTAAAAGAACTTCTATGGGTGACACCCCTAACTGTGATGATGGGAGGGTATGATCCATCTTGAACCAAGTAAATATAGTGTTTCATTTAATTTTTCATAGAAGATATGTCATGGCTTCTATTTGTGACTGCCTCCCAATAGGCACTTACAGTAGATTATCAAGCTGCTTAAAAATGGCATTGCTGGAGAGAGGATATATCTTTACTATTTGTTTTTCTGACAGTCTAAATATTTCGACATATTATTCGCAACAGATTCTTTCTTTCCATCATCTGTCATTGTGCTTTCTCTTGCAGCAATAACAGTAGACCTTGTAACGGTTTTTGTAATGATTTGCCAATTTTCATCTCTTTTTGAAACGTGTTAAATGGAGACAAAAATCCTTCATCCAAGCTCAGTCAGCTGATAATATTATTAATTTAGCTATCCTCATCCCAACAGTTTGCACAATCTGATTATTAGCATATTTATAAAGAAATTGATTAGACCTGCTTGTTTTACTAATTTAACAGATGCAATCCTTGATGTAAGTGGTTATTTGATTAATTTTTTTATGTGTATTACGATACAAAAAAATTTAATTAGGCCAAGCCCTAAGCTTGTTGCTGATACAAATTTACCAATAAAAAGTTTATATTGACACTGGACCTAATATAACATTTAAATAATAATCAGTTAAAGGTCTTTTTAAAGAGATTATATTGTATATATTTTTTAAGCAAGCATTATTTTGGAGATTCTAAGCAATTTAACATTGCTAATATACTGATCTTAATCTTCACTTCAGCTTTATATGTTCCTCCTTATACGTCTTATATCCAAATTCACTTTTTTCCTTTTAATTTTGCTTGTTTTCTCTACAACTACTTTCCCTTGGTCCATTTTCTTTAAATCTATCATCCGAATATTTTCCTCCTAAATCTTCCCCTGCTTCCTTCCCTGTGTTGAAGTGTGTCATTGTGGGTGTTTAGAATGGAAGCGCACTCCCCGTATTCAGCCTTTCATTTCTTTATGTTTGATTTTAGTAGAGGCCTCAGTAGTAATGTTCCTGCGTGGGAAGTTCGAATCAATAAGGTTTTATGCAGCTGTTGGAAGTCTGCGTGCGCCTATTTCGTCTGTGCATGCAGCATGAGCAAATATTTCTGTGTATTTGAGGTGTTTTATTGACTGAGTGTGTGCTTGTGTATGATGAGAATTCTGATTAAAAATAGTCCTAAGGAGCTGAATGTAGAGCTGAATAAAAGCGATTTGTAGATAACTGAAAAATATATTTTTTCCCTCAATGTGTTGCTTTGTAACAAAAATTAAAAGCTTCTACTGGCATACTGCACACTAGCCCTCATATAAACATCATATCATTTAAGACCTTTGCTTCTGTCATCACTTAAGGCGGCAGACTCAACACTATTGTTCATCTCTGGTGTACATTATCTCATCTTTTAGCACATAACTTGTGTGAATGGTAGTCTTCTTAAATGTGAGCTTTTTGCATACATTTTACTAAAAAG